GAGCTTGCACCAGGCTTGTTTAACCCAATGAAATTCACATGGACCCACTCTTCGAGCTTTTTGAGGTTCCTCTGGATGGAATATAAGCATATAAACTGCACTGCTTCCTTTGTCGTCTGTAGAGTTGGTGAGGGTACATTCAATGCCACTCACAATGGTATCACTAATGAAGATATTAAATAGTATTTGTCCCAATGCAGACCATGAGGGACACCACTTGATACTTGTTTCCACTTGGATATTGAGCTGTTAACTACAGTTCTTTGGATGTGGCCATCCAACCCATTCCTTATTCACTGAACAGTCCATCCACCCAAACCCTGTGTCCCCTAGTGTGACAAGGATGTTGTGTGGGATGATGTCAAAGGTTTTAGCAAAGTCTAGGTAGATGACATCCAGCTCATTCCTTGTCCACTGAGGCAATCAGTCTATTGTAGGAGGCTACCAGATTAGTCAGTCATGATTTGTGCTCAGTGAAGCCACGTTGGCTGTCTCTAAACACCTCCCTGTCTTCCTAGGTCTAGACGTATATTCCAGGAGGATCTGTTCTGTGATCTTAGCAGGGTGACTCTCACTGCTTGGTGCTTCCCCGAGTCATCCTTTTTACCATACTTAAAAACTAGTTTGATATTTTGCTCCTCTCAATAACAGCAGACTTCACTTGAGTAGGCATAAAGGTGGGCAAGGATACTGATGTAATCCTAAGTAAATAGGAAGGTGCAGATACCTCAGTCTACAGCCCTTGCTCCTACTGGTAAAGCTCCAGTTCCTGTAGTTATCTGTGCAGCCACCTACAAATAGCTCCTAATAACACCAGTGGGCAGAGGGATCCCTGGCAAAGGGCCATGTATCCACTCAAGGAGGAATGAAAAGCACTGGAGAATGCGGGCATCGATCCCGCTACCTCTCACATGCTAAGCGAGCGCTCTACCACTTGAGCTAATTCCCCACCCTGCAGCCTCTGACCCAGGTCCTCTCCCCTCCCAGACACCCAGCCCTGACCCAGGATGCCCTGCACCCAAAGCCTGCACCTCCCATGCTTATCGTTCTCATACCACCAACCCACCCACTCACAGTCCTGCTGGAGGTGACTGTGGACAGCACCCATGGTCAGAACCACCATCCCCTGCCCAAGGGTTCACCCAAAAATATACCTTGCCAAACTCAGGCAAGAGCTCATGGCTAGACAGGCTTTTGAAGGAAAGCCTCCTGGGCAGGAGCAGAAGAAGACAGCAGTGCCAGTTCCGGACGTGTGCCAGAGGCAAAAGGTGACTCCTCCTTCGAGCCGGAGTTGAACCAGCGACCTAAGGATGGCCGTGCCAGGGAGCCTACAGTCCTCCGCTCTACCAGCTGAGCTATCGAAGGAAGCATAGGAATATTTTTCTCACATCTTCTGATACTTCACTGTGTGGTCATATCTGGCCCTACAGAGCATAATTCCCTGTCTTCAGAATAATCCTATCTTCATTCAAAAGCATCCATCCTCATCAGACCCACCTCTGTGTCAGAGTCTGGCCTGATCTCACTTTTCAGCCCTAGCCTCCAGCTGACAGAGGTCTTGAGTGACTTCATTTCCATAAGTGTCTTATCCATCCAAGACACACTTATTCATCTTGTGTTTCCCTGTTTGACTTTTCTCTCCCAAACTTGCTTGCTGCTGTGGAGGAGTGCAGTGGGCAGTGATCCTGAGGCAGTGAAGGAGAAAGCTATTCTCCATGAGAAAAGTATGAATGGACATAAACCCCTGGTTTTGGTAGCCTACAAACCCTTTGTTCATTTCACTCTCTACTTTTTTTGTCTTCTTCTTTGTCATAATGAGCCCTACCTATTACATAACTGCAAATGACACTTTTCCAGGAGCCCACAGGTACCCACAGTACTTCGTGTTATGTCACATAGCTTTTGTCCTTATTTTTATTGTTCCTTGGGTTGGACCTAACAGAGTCTTTTGTCTCACTCATATGAATTGCACTGCTAATATCTAGATCTTTTTCCCATTGCTAAATCATCTTCAGTTAGTATATGACATCTCAGTGAGCAGAGAGTTGTTCTGGTAATGTACTCTTTTTAGTGAGAACATTTGTCCCAAAATCAAAATAAAACCACATATTATCTTTTGTTAATTGCTGAAAGTAATCCTGTTAGTAGTCTAAAACAATACTAGGTAAAGTGAAAGTGCAACTCACGTGCTTCATCTCTTTAAAACTGCATTCTGTTCAAATTCTTATTTTCTATAAGATTGTTTGGGATGTAGGTAAGCCAGAAGATGTCTTTGGGTCTTTGGGAAAAGAAAGAAAGGCTGGAAATTGATTGTGTGATGCCTGCAAACATACATGGGTTTTTGAAAGTAATACTTCTCCATTTTTTTTTCTTTTTTCTTTTTTTTTTTTCTAATTGTTGGGGCTTGTTTTCAGGTCAGAAAAGGCATAGATTGCATAATTTACTTAAATACTTGGATGACACATAATATCATTAATCATGCAAGACTTAGCTTGTTTTTTCAGTTCTTATATTTAATATTTTATTGTGTTTAGGGCACATGTTAAACATGACCAAAACTTTGTGTTTAAGGTGCAATATGCACAGTGTATTAAACAAGACTGAACACGAACCTATTCATGCTATTAGACACATGTTTAAGGAGTTATTTATGACCTATGATTCTGTGACTTGAGTGCAGGAGAATTGAAGAGATCGTTGGTGAAGCTGTTCCCAGGCTGATCTATGTCTTGATATTGGCAGAATGTCTCTTTACTGAAGGAGTAACCTATACTTGGACTTCAGAAGGAAATCAAGTAGGACTCTACTCTTGAGGTTAAATTTGTTAGAGGAAGTGTAGGCACACTGGCTTCACGCCATAAATACTATTTTTGGTCATAGCACTTATGGCTAGCTCTCAAAATATTTTGAGAGAACATTTACAAAAAGAAGCGTAGCTTCGCTGGGATTGAAACAGTTTAAAACACTACTAAGTCACTTTTCATGCCACTAGAGGTCAGCACTAGTCATTAAATAAATGTCCTGGAGACTTTGCAAGCTTTTTACCGGGAGTGGCGATTTTTGAAAATATATACTTCTGTCTGCGCTTGTTTTGCAAGTGTGTGTGAGTTCACACTAGCAGTGCTTCACGATGGTTGGAAGCAAACCCCTTCTTCTCGATCCTCTGCTTCCTCAGGGCTGTGAGCCAAGAGTCACGCACTGCACTTTTCAAGCTGTACCTCTCCTCAAATGCCACAGTGCTGATTATGGTCCAGGGCAAAAAGCAGTGTCAAACCTTGACCTAGTAAAGGCTTCCAGTGGCACAAGCAGCCCAAACTAGTTGGCACTGCTCCACTCTCACACCACACAGGGATTACTGCATTTAGTTCTGGGCACCCCAAAATAAGGACATAGACCTGTTGGAGCAAGTCCAGAGAAAGGACATGAGGATGACCAGAGAAATGGAGAAAGGCTGAGATGTAGCTATAATATTATGAAAAATCCTTTGCTGGGATTTTTCCTCTCCTGAGAAGCTGAGGAGCCTCAGGAGAGAAATGTAAACAATTACTATCTGCTGCTGTGGAATGCAACAAGTGCATCTGTGATTGGTCCATGTGGATTGTTTTTTATTGATGACCAATCACAGCCACCTGTGCTAAGGTTGTGAGCAGTTACAGGATTTTGTTATTTTATTCTGTTCTGCTCTGTTCTATTCTTGTTGTAGCCTTCTGATCTCTTTGTTCTTTTAGTATAGTCTTGATGTAGTATTTTAATATAATATTTAACATAATAAATCAGCCTTCTGAAATAGAGTCAAGCCTCGTATCCCTGCCACACGTGGAGAGTTCACCGCAACACTGAGAGAATTGGTGTTGTTTGGCCTGGACAAGAGAAGACTCCAAGGAGACCTTAGAGCACCTTCCAGTACCTTAACCAGTCCTGCAAGAGAGCTGGAGAGGAACTTTTTACCAGGACATGAAGTGATAGGACAAGGGGCAACGGCTTTAAACTAAAAAGGAGTATGTTTACATTAGATATCAGGAAGAAATTCTTTACTGTGAGAGTCACGAGGCACTGAAACAGCTTGCTCAGGAAAGTTGTGGATGCTCCATCCCTGGAAACCTTCAAGGCCAAGCTGGATGAGGTTTTGAACAACCTGGCCTACTGGAAGCTGTCCATGCCCATGGTGGAGGGCCAGACCTAGATGATCTTTTAAGGCTCCTTCCAACCCTAACCACTCCATGATCCTGTGAAAATAACCATTCTGTGATGGTTCCTATGATGATCCTATGACAATCCCCTTTTACTGCTTTAAGGATTGTCTCAGAAGTGCAGCAGTGGGGAATTAGGCCAAAAGATAGGCACTTGAAACTGGGATTAACTCATTATACCTTTCTACCTTGGGCTTCAAAAATATGCTTCCCTTTCTATTGTAATTCCTTACTGTGCTCGCCTCATCACTGTCTGGGCTTCTGCAAACACAGACATTGTTTACAACGTTTTAATGTAGCTTCTATTGATAGGCAACCGAACACAGAATTTCCTTTGCTATAAAGAAAATAATGTTGCCTGGATAAGCAGTGTGATCATCATGTTTTTAAACACCTTTAAAAAATCTTTATCGTTGCTAAAACCTGCTAAATGATGCAAATGAGTTGGCAATCATAATGCAACAAATGCCTGTGATTTATTATCGTGTTGCAATCTGTGCTTTCATCATATATCACTGTCTCCTTTAACACAGTAGCTGACTAGGTATCAATACACAAAGTTCATTCTCAGTGTAATAGGCACACCTCTTTCATCAAAACTTTAATGTTTGGTTCCTTTGTGTCACTTTTCTTCCACTGAGTACATCAGAGCTGGAAAAAAGAAGGCTGACCACACACTTCAGAATTACTATAACGCTATGAAAATATTTTTTGTAATATTCAATGTTTTGTGTCTGTATACATGCTCATATACAGATGACTTATTTTCTCTCTGGTTTTTCTTTTGTTTGTTTGTTTCTCACATTTAAGAAAACTGGCTCTGAAATACCATCCTGACAAGAATCCAGACAATCCAGAGGCTGCAGAAAAATTTAAAGAGATCAACAATGCTCATGCAACCCTGACTGACCTGTCCAAGCGAAACATATATGACAAGTATGGATCATTAGGGCTCTACGTGGCGGAACAGTTTGGTGAGGAAAATGTTAACACCTACTTCATGCTCTCAAGCTGGTGGGCAAAGGTAAGCTGTTTTTCTTCTTTGGAAATCAAATGTTACAATGCACACTGCCAGTTATATACACAAGGAATCCCCAAAAAACATGATCTCTCTACAGGTTTAAGAAATAGTACCCTGTGACTCTAAACTAAAAACTTACTAAAACAAAGTTATCTGGAAAATTGTCAGTGGCTGAATGTAACGTAAGCTCAGACTAGCACTAATATAGAAAGTTTTGTCTTTTTTTAACCTGGTATGTAATTATAGTACATGTTTTGTAACACTTTCAGACGTTAATTAGATTTGAATCTAGTGCTCCAGGTTAATTTTGACTTTCTTTTCTGTAATGACTAAATAAAAATGACTCATTATTCAAACACAAGAAGTCCCATTTATGTGACAACCAATTAATAAATTACTAAGGTACAAATTTAGCTTTCTTTTTTGCTATATATAGCACACAACATAAGTAAGCAATAATAATACATAACACTGTGATTATGGCATTACATATGTGCCTTGGTGATGGAGTGAGAGAAATGAACTCAAAGGTTAGAAGAGTGGAATGGAGGAAGAGAGTGGGACAGGAAGAGAATGACACATCAAAACCCTGCATATTGCTCAATAAAAAATAATGGTCATGGGTTGTTGCAGTCATGAAGGAGTTGGGTTCATTTGTTCCCTTATGACATTGGTGTCCTATGATGTTTGCATATATCAAATTCAAGTGTTTCTGCAAATACTGAAATATTACAGATATGCAACAAACAGAATTCCAAATATGCAAAATCCGCCTGTCTCCAGCCACAGCAGCACAGGAAAGCACTCTGCTGGACTGTGACAGAATACACAGGAAGATGATCTGCACTGTTTGAAGCAAGCATGCGATGACAGTTTTTATCTGAGAACTGTGGAACACAGAATTCTCTGTTCAGCGAGGAACAGGCCAGTGCTGCATTGCCCCACGTTCCCCTTTTAAGCTGGGAAGTCACTTGGGCACTTTGGGCGTCTTCAAAGCCATAATTTGATTTCTGAATCAAGATGAGGCAGAAGCTGCTCAAATGCAGAACAGTGCATGAAACCAGTGAATAAATTACTGGTGTTTAAATTAAACTTGCGAAGGTGCTGCCCCTCAGAGGCTGTTGGAGGCTGCCTGCTTGCAGCTGCTGCAGCTGCCTTCTGCTGCAGGCTGGACACCCACCATAGCTGCTGTCATCTCCTGATGGATCATTCCACCTTGTCTTTGCTGTCCACCCTCTCCTTCTGCCTCTTTGCCACATTTGGGGGCCTCAGCACTGGGAGGGCAACAGTGTGGACTCCTTTAACAGTTTTTGGCAAAAAAGACTTCTTTTCACGGTTTCTTTTTTTTTTGTTTGTTTGGGTTTTTTTTGTTTGTTTGTTTGTTTTTTTTTTTTTTAGCTTCTTCTAAGCTTTTATTTGGTTATCTTTAATGGAGATTTTATGGAGTATAAAATCCTCTGGGGTCATAAAATCAGGTACAGAAATAACCACTGTGGCTTTGACTCATAAAGAGAGCAGTGGGGAGTACAGAGAGAAGCTCATAAGTCCCTAACAACTAAAGGAGAAATGTGAGGATTGCTTCAAGCAAGCTGTATCCCAGAGGTGAGACAAGACATGCTGAAGAGCAAAGTAATCACTGCTTCTTGGTTTTCAAGAATTTTGTACAAAAAGATCCAAAATATGTATGTAGAGTCATTTGAGGATTATCACAGATAGTCTCTCTATGTCTCCCTCAACCCAAAATCCTGCCACCCCCAAAGCATAAGGAGGCCCCTAAGTGATTTTGTTAGTTGTTTGGGGTATTTCTTTTTTGCAAGATGAGCTCTCACTATTCCTCATTTGTTTCTAAATCATACACAAATGCTGGATCAATTTGAAATTTTTATATTGGTCATCATAATACCAGTTGAGTCTGAGGCATCATCTGCAGATGACCTCTGAACTCCTGATTTCCTCCATTCTGGTGGAGGACAGTAGGGATCACAGCCTTGCCTTGTTATCTCCCTCATTGACTGCACACATTCCTCTTCCCAGCACTCATACTGGGAAAATCTGACAGTTGCAAGGAGTTTTATCATTAGCAGTAAGGAAACTCAAATGAAAGGAGAAATGAAAGTGAAAATTACTGTTCTTTTTGAGAGTGCCAGACTTTTTAGCAGGCATATTAAACTGGGAACATACAGACATGGGTAATAGGAACTCAAATTGCTTCTCCACTGGCAGGCACAGAGGTTGTTTGTTTAACTGTTTTAGCAAAAACCAGTTCGCCCTCTACCATGAAGACAGTTCATTGATAACATCAATTAGCTGATTTTTGATTTAACAACCATGATCATATAAGCACAAGAAATGTTGAAACATTAAAGGTATCATGAATAAACTCAATGTGTTTTTCCCTCTACACACTTCCATTCTGTTTTATTTTTTCATTCTATACATCATGATATGGCATAAATGATAAACAGTCAGATAACTTATTTTGGGAATTATGGCACTGTTTCAGGTGTCCATTAGAAGGAAAGCATTTTACGACAAAAAGTCTGAGTCCTTTTCATTTAAAAGCACCTTGCTCACTCTAGATACATGCTTATTAGATACATGCTTATTATTTATATTAGGCATATAATTATTACCTTCAAAGATTTTCCAGCCAGCCCCCACTAATGTTAGCTCAGACATGCATACATAATATTATTTGCATAGCTCCGTTGTCTGAGTTTGACAATATCCTGACATTTGTGCTTTACTTTCCTCCTCAAACAGCATATTGTCTTAGGAACATAACAAATAGTTAGCAAAAGACAGACGGGAAAACTGTCATGCTAAAGCCAGGCTGTGCCTCCAATCCATATATACCTGGTGGCCATAAAGCTGTGCTGCTTTTACCCACACATTCAGAGAATCAGAATGGTTTGGTTCTGGAATGGTTAAGGGATCTTAAAGATCATCCAGTTCCAAGCCCCCTGCCATGTGCAGAGAGACCTCCCATTAGATCAGGTTGCTCAGAGATGAATTCAACCTGGTCTTCAGTACCTTCAGTGATGGGACACTCATAACTTCTCAGGACAACCTGTTTCAGTGCCTCACCACCCTCAAAAGATTTCCTCCCAAATATCTAATCTAAATCTACCCTCTTTCAATTTATTTCTATGTATCAGTTTTGATTTGCTTTCCAGGAATGTCACTCATTTTCCTTTGCTCTTATACCATTATGTCCATGAAGAGATGTCCATGGAGATTTCTTCTGTGTCACAAACATCTCCATGTAGTCCTGGATCTACCTTGGGTCAGGAGCCAGGCTGCTGTCACATCCCTGTGGAGCACAGACTGGCAATGCCAGCCTAAAGGCTCTCGTCATACATGTCCATTGCTGTGATGCAGCACACACTTGGACATCGGGGGCTCTGGGCTGTGAACCCAGGCACTGACTTTGTCTGAAGGAAGAAAGCCCTATAAATTTAAATTTTCTGGCTTTTGACTCTTTCGAAGATCTCTGGTCTTGGCCCCAGGCAATTGTGTTGGCTCTCCTGAATCCGCTATGCTTTGTGCCATGGGTACAAGAGTTACCAAAGGTGGGAACTTCTTGCTACCTGAGTCCCCAGGCCAAGAAACCAGAGTCAGAGGACTATAATTTGGGAGATGTCACCTATGTGGTCCTGCACAGGCTAATGGGGGGAGAGAGAGACACCCACAATGGGCAATTCAAATACTCTTACGGCTGAAACTTCCCCTGGAAGGGCTTTTAACTTCTCTTTGACTCTGTAGGGAGTCCATAGCAGCTACATCCAGTCCTAAACTGGATGCCTTATTTCAGTGCCCAAAATTATGTGGGATGCATCTGGGTATTTGCTTCTTTTTCTCTTAGCTTTGTTATTGACAAGAGCTTGCCAGTAAATAAGTGTTTGCAAAAGTGATCTTGGGTAAATGAGTCATTTTAAAGATGGAAATGAGTCATTTTAAGGTGGGTAGGGTTTTTCATACAGCCTGGAGGGTTTTTATGAGGCCCATCAGCAGAACAACAGACTTTCAAACGTTGAGCATGTGGGGGCCTCTTGGTTGGTGTCTTCATTGTGGATTTGGTCCTTAGTGACAAATAGGAGGAAATAGGAGGTAGCGGATGAGGAGGTCTTCAGAGGATCTGGCCCTTGTTCAGGCACTGGGACAGCAGGTGGACTCCTCTGAGTGCCAAGCACTTAGGAACCAGAGTTCCTCTGACATTCTGCCTTCAGCTGTAAGAGACAGCCAGAATTTTGGGGAAGGTCACTGCTAACAGGACTTTCATCCTGCTGTGTTTAACCCAGGGCCTGTTTGCAGTCTGTGGTTTGCTGACTGGCTGCTACCTCTGCTGCTGCCTCTGCTGCTGCTTCAACTGCTGCTGTGGAAAGTGCAAACCGAAGGCACCCGAGGGGGAGCAGCAGGAGTTTTGTGTGTCTCCAGAAGATTTGGAAGAGCAAATTAAGAACGACATGGAAAGAGGTGTGTATTGTAGGGGCTTACTGTGTGGCAAAGCTGTTCAAAACAATCTTTAAAGCCTGTAGTCCAGATGTTCTGCTCACAACACTGAGGCTGCTTCCAGACTTCAGTAGAGAAGGGCCAATTCACTCTAGCTAAGACCACAACCCAGGGAACTTCCCAAATTATGTATTAATACAAAACCAAACTTATGGCACTTGCAACTAAACATCTCCTGTATCTCTTATGAGACACTTACACAATAAAAGTCTCAGGGCTTATTTTAAAAGACAGTGTTCACCCTCTAACCCCCATGCCCATGATCCTTCATATCTTAGATCCTACATATCTTAGATCCTACACTCATACACAAGGCTCTGCTGGACTGGTTCCTGTCACATCTGATTGGCCTGAATAAGCTGTCATTCAGACTTTAGTTCTGTAAAATGTATCCCTGCTTGTGGTGGATATTGTACCCATTCAAGAGAAAGCTTCAAGAAAAGATGCCAAGTTTCCAGCAGTAAGGTTGTGCAGTAACCCAGGAGAGTATGCACGGGAGTTACCAAGGTCCTGTCCCTCTTCCAACCAGCCCCAAGCTTCTCACTCTCTTGGGCACTGGCAGCAGCAATTCTACTTTACTCAGGCCTTGGATAAAATCTAGGTGTAAACTAATCCTCTCAAAAATGTCTGTAGTTCCTGGCCATTTAATTCTCTGGTGTGCTTCATGGTGGAGCAGGCAAGTGCTAACTTAGGGGGAGGAGGAACAGGGACCTTAGGAACCAGGAACATGGGCCTGTGGCAGCAAAATTACCTTTGCAGCAGGTCAACCTCTTTTTTTGGCTTTGCTGAGTTCCCCTAGCTGCATGTTCAGGTTTTGGCTATGCCAAGGGATGCTGGAGGTGATTTCCTAATTTGGCACTAGTATGGGATACATGCTTTGAACAAAGGGTTCTGTCCCAGTGTGCTGAAAAGGGGCAGTTTTGCCTTCATATTCAGGGGAAGTAGAAACATCTCAAACTGGATAGATATGTACAGGGTGAGAGGTGCAGTGACCCTTGCTCCAGCAATAAGAACCCAGGGTACCAGGGAAGGACTGAAGACGCTTTTCAGTTGCAAATTTATATAAACTATGATTAAGATTATGGGGGTTTTTTAGGAAGGACCTAAGAAGTCAGCTCACTCTTTTTCTCTTCCATTGTTGTGGAAGATCTTATACTGTTATATTCTTATGTTTATTATGCTTAAAATAGCACTGCCAGATTGCAAATGTCATGTTCCCTTAGCAGTAAGAAATTTTTTCCCCCCAACTTTTCACACAAATTTACCCTTCCATAAATATGTAACAAAACACTTGTAGTAGTTGAAACAAATGCTATTTTTATAACTGTTACGCCAACGTGTGGTGATGTTTTTAAATTGATTTTGCCTAGAGGCATATCAAGGTAAACAGTCAGCTTAAAAAGTGATCATACTTAATCAGTCTCTGCAAAGGCAATAAAAACTACTAGTGAAAAATTTATAACCACAATACCTTGAGACAAATCTAATAAACTTTACAACATTAGTCACCTGAAAAGTGCAAATCTAAAATGGGTCTTGCTCTTCATGAGTCTATGATACCAAAGCCAAGTCTAAAGTAGAAGGATGGAACTTTGAAGAATCCGAATGTTTAATTTCTGCCCATTTTCTTCATTTGTTTATCTTTAATTTGGTTTATATTTATTTTAATTCTTCCTCAAAATCCAGAACAAAATTCCCCAGCAGCAGAAAAATAATCGCTCTTTCCTTCTGGCACAGGGAGCAGAAGGTATTGGTATTCTTTGATTTTAAGCCCCCTTGACATCCCTTTATTCTCACCGAGTCCCACTGAAACTAATTTCAAAAATTAATTTTAAATGCTTAGCAAAGTACCAGTCTGAAAAATTAACATAATATGGAATTTAATGTTTTAAGTATTTGGAAGACAATATTAAATACATAGGTAGGGTCTGAAGAAAACTAGATCTTTGTATTTTTTCTTACCCTCCTTTTCAGCCTTGCTACATTCTCCTCCTAATCAAAACCAGCAAGTCTCTGTAAAGCAGAATTTTCTTTATTTTAAAAGACAGTAATGTATAAGGATTATAAATAAAAGCATTGTGACAAAGGGTAACATGAGCATCTTTTCTGCAGCTGAAAGGAAAACAGACAATGCATTTAGGAAAAAAAAAAAGAATGACAACCAGATCAAAGTGTGCTTCCTCCCTTCCTTCTTCCCTTGTCGTCCCAACTTCAGGAATGCTGGCCAGAAAGACATAGCTGGCGTTTGGAATAGAGAGGACTGTGCATTTTTGAATGTTGAGCCATAGAAATTAATACTCATGCCTTCCTTTGGGTAAATAATAGAAATGTTCCTCTATGTAATTCAGAAACAAACTGTAATTCAGAATCACTTGTGCAGCAGATTTAATTTTGGAAGAGGAGATTCTATTAGGATCCAAGTTCTTTGCATGCCCCCTGAGCACAGACTGAGCATTCCAGCCAGTAATTAATTTCTTTGCTTCCTGCTGTCCCCAGCATCTACAGTACTGCTAACCACAGCTTCTCGCTGAGGTCAAAATGTACATTTTTCAAGCTAAGGCCACACTAAAAACTGTCCAAATATTTTTTAATCAGTCATTGCTTTTCTGAGGAATGCATCATCAATAAAGCATCTAAATTCCTGATGCTACAGTCCTCTGTGACTGAGCCCTTAACAGTTGTGCTCAGTGGCAGCTGCCTGCTGCTGGCTGTACTGCCCAAAGGAGTTGAGATTTAGACTTTAACTACCAAACTGACACGACTATAATAATTTTTCAGTTCCTCACATTTATCATTAACAAAATTATGGTTTTGCAGAGTTGATTTAATTCCTCAAACTAACATACCGTAACACTTAGTGAAAAAGAAATAGGTGTGAGGCCAAAGATTTAGTGATCCATTTCCTAAAATGTAAGAGCGAAGTGAATTGCCACTGAAATCAACACAATCATGCCAAAGGCTTCAATTCTGTTGATCTGCTATTTCTCCAGAAAAAGAGAATTTCTAGGTGAATTTATATTCCTCTAGAAGAAGGGTTTAGTCAAATAAATGTTACTAGTTCTAGTGCTCAGCTAGTTCAATGTCTCCCTTTAGAGCCTCGTTTTACAGCATGTACTTCCAGGGGTGAGATGACCATCAGAACTAAAGGAAATTAGGGGTGTGCAAGCCCTGGCACATACTTAGCTTAAAAGGATTTCTCCTCATACCTATTGATTTGTACCAGAAGACTCTGACCTAATATAGAGCAGAAGACCAAAAATTAAATGCTATGTTTGGGTTATTACATTTCAAACATGGCATTTTTTAGTGTTTCAGATCAAACATGACATTAGAAAGGTGCAAGGTAATCTGTGGTATCATGCCATGATGTTACAGGTAATCTGTCAAAATGCACTGGCAGAGGGAAGTATCACTCGCTTGTCTGCAGCACAGACACGTGCAACACTTCATCACTTTCCCACACACGTGGGGCAGGTTGACAGATTTTGCTTCCACTGAAGTTGATGGCAAAATTTTTGTTAACTTTTGTGTTCCCGGAGGAGGTGGCATTGGAATTTGGATTGTCTTTGTGCTTCAGGCTGTAATGATGCACTCAAAGCAGTTTGGCAGGTCTGCTCTCTCCTGTTCGGTTATCATTGTAAGAACAAAGCAAGGCATTTCTAGACCAACTTTTATTTCACAGAAAATGAATTCTGGGAGAGAAAAAAAAAAGGACAAGAATAAAAGAACCTGAGTAGAAAAATACTTTCCCAACTCAAGAGCAAAAAGTTTTCATCACTTCATTGTCTCCTCCACACTCCATATGATACAAATGTAGGCGAACAGTGAGCAGGAGCTATCTATAGAAAGCAGTTTAAACTGTGAATTCTGCCTCACCTCCATTCTGCAGCTTGCCACTAGCAGACTATATTTGTACAGTTTATTATGCCATGGGTCCCTGTTCTGCTAAAAAACCCTATCATAAATCTTAGAAGGGTGCAAGCAGCAAAATGCTTGGTGAGGGTGTCAGCTAAGAGCTGTCTGCAGATCAGCTGGAGGCAATGCGACAGATTTGCAGTGGGTCCTGTTCTCCTGTTGCACACCTGGGTATCACAGCAAAATGAACTGCTAATCTCTGCCCTCCATCTTCCAGAAAATGAACAACTTGGAGGCAGAAGTGGGTGGGAAGGAATGCTGCTCAGAAATCTAGAAAACACACAGCAACTTAAAAATGGATTGGAACTGCCAAACTAATATGAGCCTGTGCTGAGCTCAAAGCATTAATTACTCATATACTTTTAGAAGTTATGAAACATGTCTGTCTTTGACCTTGTGTCTAAATATGGAATTGCCCATACAGAGAAGCTGCTTGGCATTTAATCATTCTTGCCTTTCACCTTGACAGAGTCAAAGTTGTTCTGCCCCCACTGAGTGGAAGCCGTATGGCATGCAATTAGATTCCTGCTCTGGGTTAAGTTACTCCTGTACATTACATCTTTTGCCCATGATTCATCCCATCAACTGTCATGTAAACAGAAGGAAATGTCAGATGAGATTTTTTTCCTGAACATTTGGTCATTTGGCAAAAAAGTCATAATTTGTATTCGATTACTGTGAAGACTGTGTTAGTATCAAGATATAGACAGTCCAAAGTTTTTCATATGAAACACTTCACTAAGATGGCTGAACTTGTAAAAGTCAGTCTTTGAGATTTGAGTACTTTCCTCCCTCCAAAAAATATTCCAGCTGGAAAGAGGCCCAGGAGAAGGGCAACCAAACCTTGTTCTTTATCAGATGGAACACAGTAGCCATCAAGGAGCTCTGTAAAGACTTCATTTCTACTTTCCTCCACTGTACAACAAATGATTTTTTATAGATATATTGGAAAAGCAAACACAAAATTGCACAGAGTGAGAAAGTACACAGCAGTAAGGATTTATATAGTGATAATATGAAGTTTTGGCAGTTCCAAATTCATTAAAATAGTAATTCCCAGAGTCCTACTGCATATACATTACATAAGACTTCAAATTCAATTTAACATTTTTATTTAACTAGCTGGCTTTCAGGATACATATGATTTCTCTCCTCTCAAGTGTATTACTATTACTGCTCACGCATTTTTTCCTTTTAACTCTCCTCTTTCTTCACTGTTAGCTCTGCCCTCTTCAAGACTCATTTCTGTCCCATTCTCACAAACACTGTCAAGGTTAGTGCTTGCTGACTCACAACAGCACTGATTATATTCAGCCATTTGTAGGAACAAGCACTTGCTATTAGAACAGACAGGAACCTTTAGCCTGCAAGCTCTGCAAAGCACCAGGCACAGCAAATGTCCAGTCTTAACAGCAGCAGCAACACCCAGAGATCTGCCATTGTATGAGAACTAGGAGGAAGAGCATTTGTAGGCTTGGTGTGGGAAATGTCACCTTGTTGGTACCCACACAGCTGCGTGTGAAACCAAATTAAGCTGTAACCAGAACAGCAAATGGAATGTTGTGGTGCTAACAAGAAATCTGACTTTGGTAGCAAGTGAAGGGTTCTTAAAGTAATCTTTGTTGTCCTCTCCAATTTAGATGGAGAAACTCCTATTACGCTTCAGCCGACCAACGTCACCGAGAAGACACAACTGATTGGGGACAGCCATCGGAGCTATCGCACAGAGTCCTAGGGCAGGCCAGGGACCTGCTGGGCTTCTCACTGACTCTGACTGTGAGAAAAACATGAGATAAGTTCTGCAGCCTGTGTTCATAGTTGTCTTTAAGCTAATCAAGAGTAACCTGAGAGTAATTTCCTACCGAGGCAGAATCTCACTCTATGCTACTACCAATAGTTTGATACCTGCACTGTCTGTGGAGGTACCTATGGCCTGTATAGAGCATGCTGGCCTCTCACAGCTTCACACTGTCTTTCCCTCTAATAATGTTCCCTTTGACATACCTGGTCTTGTCCCTGCCTGCACCTGTAGTTTCACCTGCCAGACACAGTCCTGAGTCCCTTTATGGACACACTGGCTGTCTCTCCCCACCCCAGGAACCTTCCTTGCATGCAGCAGTTTTGCTGGATGTGAAACATTCCTATGAGGGAGCCCCAGAAGTCTCAGAGAGACTTAGCGGGTCTCAGAGAGAAAGTTGTTAGTAAGACAGATGGGGCTCTCCTTCCCAGAGAAGCGCTCTTTGGAGGACAGCTAGTGGCTTGCTCGGACCCAGCTCCGGCAAGTATAAATCCTGAGCCAAGACAAAGTGCTAGGAGATTTTTCTGACGGTTGTTACAGTGCAGGTCACTCCAAATCCAGGAGCCTCATTCAGAAGCACATGCAAGCTCTGCATCTTCCCCAGCAAAAGCTGCAAACTCATGAGACAAACCCTGGGCTGTCCCAGAGCCTGTCTCCTCCTCCCACAGGCCTGTGGCAAAGCTCCTCCTTTTGGTTCCCAGCCAACAGCTTTCTGCCAGCTGGCTTATTGCACCATGCCCTTGGCTTGTGGCCCTGCTGCCCTGCTGGCACTGGGCTGGGAGCCATCACACCAGCACAGGCACTGGGGCTGTGGGAGCAGCAAGGACTTGGCAGGAAAAGCAAGCAGCAAAGGAGTGACCGTCCTCCTCACCAGCTCTTTGGGGTAAGACTGAAACCTCCCTTCTGGCACAGGGGCTTTAAGAGGACATGGCATGATTTTAAATGAAGAGGCAGGAATGAGGAGTACGTTCAGGTGTACCACTGCACAAATCAGTGGAGATACATGTGGGTATGGCTAAAGGAAGCATGAAGAACTTGGGCCACTAATTTGTAATAGCTAAAGGAATACCTCTTAAATCTTAAGCTTAGTACTTCACTGATTTGACATAGTAGTTTAAGCCTGAGGCAGCAGAATTTCTCCTTATTGATAATTTTACATCAATCATTGTCAGTTCTATGTATTTGCTATTTTTGCTTGCTGTGGTCTAAAGGGGGGTCACAATGTTCCACTGAATTATACAGACTTGTGAATATATAACTAGCCAAAAGTGTTGTTCCCTTGCCTAAAATTGGATCCTGCAGTTGTGAAACATTATTATCTTCCTTCTGTTCTCACCTTTGACATCAAATGTCATTCAACTAAATATATTGGGAAAAGAATGTGTTTTATAGAACCAGCTGTAACTCCAAAGTCAATACTACTTTCAATGTTTCTTTAGAAGTCCCACAACACAAGGACATTTTCAAGACCATTACTTCCTGTTCAAGTTATATATCTGTTCTCTGGATGCAGGCACTGGGGACAGCCAACACATCGCCCTCAGAAATGGCCCTGGCTTTCTGCTTCAGAAAAGAGGGAAGATGCTGGCATGGCCAGAGTGCACAGGCATTCGCTTCCCTCCTACCCAGAGGCTTGTCTCTGTCCTCAGTTGCAATGATTTTGGAAACCACTCGTATCTACATAATTCCAGACCACCATCCTCCCTGCCCACTGGGGATGTGCCCATCCAGCCCAGTGGTGCCAGGAGAGGGGCTGGTGCTGCCATCCTGCCACTGAGGAGACATGACCCCAGAGGCACGTCTTTCCAGTGGTAGCCGAGTGCTGCACATCTTCCCGTCAGGGGGATGGATCAGACAGCACTGGGGTGGGCTGAGATGGGCAGAGCCCAGAGACCGGGTGTGTGCTGTGGATACCAGCACACACTCCTCTTTTGGCTTTCTCCACTATTCCTCTTTTCAGGGTGTTTGTTCTGGCATAGGATGCTATCCACAATGAAGGAGTAGGGACAGCACATAGTACATAACAAATCTGCAGGTGAAGTAATTCCTAGGTTTCACTGGCTGGTAGAGGAATTTAGTGTGAAAATGTCCATATGTTACCTGGTGACTATTTCCAGCAGAGAGCTGAAAAAGGCACTGGGAGAAAAGTCTGGTGTAAAGCTATGTTTTATACATGGAATCCTTTCCCATGTGAAATCCATCCTACTTTTCCCATGGAAGTCACTGGGAATCGCACCCTTGATTTCAACAACAGCTGCAGAGCAGGCCTAAAGCCAGGGAGGAAGAAGTAAATCCCATAACAGCAAAAGCAATTGGGGAATTTTTTCACATGCAACACCTCTGATGGGTCTAGAGGGCCAGAACCAAAGTTCACCAAAATCAAGGAATTTTTTTCCATGGGCTTGAGATGTACCACAAGTCATGTGGTTATTATTTAGACTTTCTAAATTAGAGCCTTTTCTTGGGAAAGATTTATGGCTGGATCTCACAGTGTGAAGCAAAGATGGACAAGCTGCTGCATGTTTTACAGACACGGGGTTCTGTACAGAAGAGCCACAACGCATTAGTTAGCACGTCAGTTAGCAAAAAAATCTCAGAAGAAACCAGTGACCTGAGGGGCCTGTCCAGGACTTGAAGCTTAAAGACCTGAGTGTCTGAACTCATGGTTTAATTTCAAATGTGTAACTTAGTTTTTAAAGCATTTGTGTCTCTCATTGATGTGAAGATCAGCTGTTCTGAGGACATAGGGAAATAGAATGATAAAGGATTTCAGGATTTAGCTCTTCAATGGGATTTTACTCCCTTGTTTGCTTTTCAGAAAAGTTCCTAACTTGAACACATGCTAACATCTGCTTTTGTGTACAGTTGAGTTTCACACTCAGAAATCTTTTCAAAATGTAGAGATTCTATTTTTTTCCTGTGTTTTGCTACATTTATTTATATGTAAACTTTCATATATTCAAATCTACCTTGGCTGTCAATCACTCTGACTAATAAAGTTTGTATGTATGAATTGTAGCACTCCCTTTACCTTGCCACACTATCAACAACTTAATTCCAGTAACAGCTAGAGAAGCTGTTGAGACAGCTGGCCCAAGTTACGGCTTTGCTCCCTGGCAAGTGTCAAATGACAACTCAGGGTTTCCCCGAAGAGGAACTAGCTCTTGGATTGCAGCAGATGTGCCTGCCCATGCAAAGCAGCCAGAGCCATGGCCTCACATTTTAAGTCCTTTACTTAATGCAGAATGCTTGCAAAAAAAAAAAAAAAAAAAAAAAAAAAAAAAAAAAAAAAAAAAAAAAATCATCAGTGTGACAAAATGGTGTAACACAGTAGTTTTCACTGGAATCAGCGTCGGTATGGAACAATTTCCCCCAGCAAAAGGTGTGTGCAAAGAGGGGAACCGTGGTGCTGCTGAGGACAGCAGCAGACATCCTGAGACACCCAGCACCTCACTCTGGGATTTTGTATCTGTTCAAGAGCCAGCACAGAGTGCCAGATAATCTGGGCACGGTACAAGACAGGAATATTTGTCACTGGGTTGGTATCCAGTCTCTGTGACCACAAAAGCCCAAGCATTTGAAAAATGGACAAGGGGCAGCTGTTTTGCTTTATGTATCCTCAAAGACCTGTTCCTTTGTGTGCTTAGATATTAACACATACCCAGATTCACTCAAAACACCAAACAGAAGAGGCAGTATAGACAATTTAGGTGTACCATCATGTAACTAGTTATTTAGGTAGTTTGTGCACTTTTACTCCCCACAACAAGTTTGTGGGATAAGCCACAATGCTTAATACAAAAAACTTCAAACATAATTGTATGCTACTAAATTTGATTGCCTACCTTGTATAAGAATGAATATTGATATGATTTCAGTCAAAAAGAATTACATCTCTGCCTCTTTGTAGAATAAAATCATTAACAAGAATTGAAGAAGCATGCTAAACTGAGCACAGTTAAAATTATTGATTTCTTTTTCTATGTTATCATTTCCTGTAGAAGACAAAAGAGCGTGATGTTACGAAACAAGAAGGAAGACCAGAGATGACCACAACCCCCTTCCTTCCCTCCACAAACAGAAGTCAGGTCACTCATCACATCTGGCTTCTCCTTTCTCTTTGGGAGATGAATGGGTACAGAGTTTTGTACAAGAGGACTCAGTCCTTTGTGCCAGTTTCACCCATCCCAGGGCTGGGAAGGCAGTTAAGACAGGACAGCTGTGTGGGAGCTGACACCTATCATAGATGGACCTTGGTAAAGACACTCAATTTTTCACTAAGGGAGAGAGTCAATACATGCTAATCTTAGAACGAGTTAGGTAGGAAGGGACCTTAAATATCATTCCGTTCCAACCCCCAGCCACAGGCAGGGATGTGTCCTGTCCAGCCTGGACTTGAACACTTCAGTTGGCTGGATAAGAAAATGTGTTCCTTTTGTGGCAGTATGTACAGATACAGCCTTATGCTGTAAAAACAGTGTCTAGACATTTGGAAGAGAGGAGAGGAGACTTGGAAAAATGACCCTCAGAATTTCAACATCCTAATTAACTGCGATGAGACAAAGGGATCTCAGTCGGTATTCTCCTGCACTGACTTGCTTTGTGGCACATTGGAGTATGAACACACATCTCGTTTTCCTTTAGAAATTCAGGAGGTGTTGGCAGTCCTGCATCAGGCCCAGCATTCCCTGCTCCCGCGGGAGCAGTCGCTCCTGAGAGTGAGACACAGAGCACAGGCTCGGTTTGCGATGCGGCCGGAACTCTTCTAGAAAAGCAACCGTATCTGCAAAAGGCTAAACAGACAATTGTTAAAAAGCATTTCTGCACAGAGGCGGGGAGGAAAAAAAGCGAACGTCTCCTTCGAGCCGGAATCGAACCAGCGACCTAAGGATTCCCGTGGGGCGTAACCGCTACAGTCCTCCGCTCTACCAGCTGAG